CTGTGCTGAACCGGGCTGTAGCCCGTTAACGGGTTAGCGGGTTCCGGTGCACCTGCATTCAAAATTTGTTCGTTTAAAATCCACCACCCGCCAATCCGTCCCAGCCCACACCTATAAGCTATAGTAACAGGCTGAACCGGGCCAAAACGGGTTAAAAACGGGTCAGCCCGGCCCGATTAACAGGTCTACCGGAGTAGTGTAAAGTGGGCCTTCGGTAAGTCGACCTCTTCCAGGCAGAGCATGAGCCGTTGGATGCGCCGAGCTTCTTGGTAGCCTCAAATCGACGGATCATATCTATTGATTTGCGCACCTTTTTCTATTTTAAATTTTAGATTCTGCTCTTCTTCAAGTGTTTAATAAAGTTATGTTTGTTTTTTTTTTTTTTTTAACGGACATTTCCAAAGGGACACAACTTTTGTCTGTGGTATCAATCTCTTACTTTCACACGGCTTCTTTTGGAATTATTTGCACCGTGTAAACCTTTTTTCTTCTTTTTTTCCTTCTTTTTTTGGCCTGAAATGCAGTATGAGTGAGGAGATGTGAAATACCTCCCTATCCAAATTGATACTTTGAACATTTATTTACATTTTAAAAGAGTTAAGATAAGTAATATGCATTACCAATACAATGTAAAAATAGAGAAGATTTGACAAAATTTTTCGTGTATCGATGATGATCATTGCTGTGTACAGTGCATGTATTTATATACAAACTAAATGGAATCTAAGAAAATAACCACCTATACATGTGTCACTATTCTATTTGTATATCTGTAACTAACATATACAAAAATAAAGAATAAAAAATAACAGCTGTACAATATTCTCTTCTAGAAGCTTCAGTCTTTATTGTTGAATAGGCCCAACTCTGTATAAAGATAAGAAGCCCAATAATGTAGATAGGGAGCCCAAATGATAGAGACTCAAAACAAAATGGACCGGGTTCTTTACCATTAAAAGAGTTTGGTTCTTCAGACCAAAACTCAGACTTAGGAGACATCGTTAGGGTTTCTCTGTAACCATCTGTAAACATCGACTTACACCATTTTCCAGTCCAACACCCCTCCTCAAGTTGGAGGGGGATGAAATAACACCCAACTTGCCTAATAAAGTTCGATGATGAGGTCCATTGAGAGATTTGGTGAAGAGATCTGCTGGTTGAGAGGAAGATCGAAGAAAGGAAAGGGAAATCAAGCCAGCGAGAAATTGTTGCCGAACAAAATGGCAATCAAGCTCCACGTGTTTCGTTCGTTCATGAAACACAGGGTTTTTGGCGATATGGATGGCTGCCTGACTGTCGGAGTGAAGAGGTACTGGAAGGGAGATGGGAATAGAGAGATCGTCAAATAGACGAACTAACCATGTAAGCTCGGAAACAACCCGTCGCATTGAGCGATATTCTGCCTCGGCAGAACTGAGAGAAATTGAAGTCTGCTTCTTGGATTTCCAAGATATTGGAGAGGACCCAAGTGAAATGTAGTACCCACTGACTGAACGACGAGTATCTGAGCAGGAACCCCAGTCGGAGTCACAGAAGGCCAAAAGCTCGAAGGAGGAAGAAGCACTCATGAACAGCCCTAGCCCAGGATCTTTCAACAGATAACGAAGGACACGAAGAGCTGCATCAAGATGTGGTTTTCTGGGATCCTGCATATACTGGCTCAGATGCTGCACAGTGAAGGAGAGGTCTGGCCGGGTATTTGTCAAATAATTGAGCTTGCCAAGGAGGTGCCTGTAAAGGGTTGGATCAGGAAGAGGAGCACCAGTCTTGGCATGCAATTTGATAGTTGAATCCAAAGGGGAAGCAACAGGAGTAAGATGCAGGGAGTCAAATTCACTCAAGAGATCCAAGGTGAACTTCCGTTGGGAAAGAATAAGCCCCTGTGGTTCACGAACAGCCTCCATCCCTAAGAAAAAATGTAAGTCTCCAAGATCTTTTATGCGAAATTCTTGATTCAAAAAGTCCTTTAATGCATTTAACTCAGTAGCATCATTTCCTGTTAATATGATGTCGTCTACATAGACTGCCACAATAGAAATAGAGGAATCTGATTTTTTTAAAAAGAGAGAGTAATCATTTAAGGAGTGAGAGAAACCCTTGAAATTAAGAGCAGTAGTGAGCTTAGCATACCATTGTCGAGATGCTTGACGAAGTCCATAAAGGGACTTTTTCAGTAGACAGACCTGTGTAGGTGAGGGAGGAGCAATTCCGGGAGGAAATTTCATGTAAACCTCCTCGTTTAAATCACCATGTAAAAACGCATTATTCACATCTAATTGAGAAATTCCCCAATTTTTCTTAACTGCCAAGGCCAAAATACACCTAATTGTGGTCATCTTGATCACAGGGGAGTAAGTCTCATTAAAATCAATGCCTTCCCTTTGAATATCCCCTCGGATGACAAGTCTGGCCTTCAATCTTTCAACACTCCCATCTGAGTGTTGTTTAACTTTGTAAACCCATTTACTGGGTAATGCCTTCTTTCCTGGAGGTAAAGCAACCACCTCCCAAGTTCTGTTAAGCTCAAGTGCCTCAATTTCCTTGGCCATGGCCTCTTGCCAACCTGGATGATGAGCTGCCTGTACATAGCTAATAGGTTCACAAACATTAGACAAGGAGTTGAGCATATGTTGATTAGAAGTGGATAAACCACTGAAAGAGAGAGAATGAGGGGTAACTGGAGTGAGAAAACAAGCAGAACTCACATCAGTGAGTTGGAGAGCATTACAAATGTAGTCTTTTAAGTAGGAAGGTGTTTTGTGAGTTCTAGTGGACCTCCTAAGTAAGTCATCTACCATGGGTTCTGTGGCTGGTGAGGAGAAGAGGGGTAGAGGACTGTTTGGTTGAGAAAAGGAGTCTGGAGAGCTGCTAGAGGGACCTGCAGATTGAGTACATGGAGAAAACCTAGATGATGTAGGAGTATGTGGGTGAGGTGGCTGGTGTGTGGGGGCAGAAGTGTTGGGTATTGGAAAAGGTTGTCTAATTGATAGGTCTTGAACAAATAGGTGTTGCTGAGGCTGAATAGAATAGGGCAGAAAAGAAGCAGTAGAAACAGTAGAATTGATAGAGGCAAAAGGAAAGAACTCTTCATGAAACACCACATCCCTTGAAACAAAAGGTTTGAGAGTCTTAAGATTAAGTACCTTATAACCCTTCTTGCCATGAGGATAACCAAGAAACACACAAGGTACTGCTCTAGATTCAAATTTGGCTCTATGATTTGATAGAGTAGAGGCAAAACACAAACATCCAAAACATTTAAGGTAAGAATAATTTGGTTTGGAGTTGAACAGAACCTCATAAGGGGTCTTTAATCTTAGAACTCTAGAAGGAAATCTGTTAATTAAGTGAGTAGCTGTCACAGGCAATCCCCCCAATAAGAAATAGGTAAGTGAGATTGAAATAGGAGGGCCCTTGAGGTTTCCAATAGATGTTTATGCTTTCTCTCCACAACTCCATTTTGTTGTGGAGTAGAGACACAAGTGGTTTGATGTATGATTCCATCACCATGCAAGGAATCAGCTTGTAACTTCCCACTCCCAAGCTCAAAAGCATTGTCTGTTCTAATTATTTTTACCTTGGTGTGAAACTGTCTTTCTACCATGGCTAGAAAGGATTTTAAAACAGTGAAGGCATTGGATTTGGTGCTCAATAAATATGTCCATGTCCCCCTACTAAAGTCATCAACAATGGTAAGAAAATACTTAAAACCATCATAGGTACAACTTTTATAGGGACCCCAAGTGTCAACATGAATCAACTCAAACACATGCTTAGTAGAAATGGAACTTGAAGGAAAAGGAAGCTTAGATTGTCTTGCCATAGGACAAATAACACAAGGAGTAGTAAATTTAGAACAGGAAGGAATAGTTGAACATGAAATATTCTTCATATGATTTAAAGGCATATAAGCTAACCTATAATGCCACAGCTTTTCTTTTACATTAGGATCAGAAAAAGTAAAACAGGAATTGGAAATAGCACTAGGCTTTGATTTCTTGCTAGAAACTAGACTATTAGTAGACTTGGAAAAACTCTTGGAAACTTCTGCAGGCTGCCTTGAGTGAAGAAAATAGAGACCTCCATTCTCCTTACCAATCTCCAGAGGGCTCTTCAGTGAAGGGCCCTGCAGTAGAACACAAGAAAAAGGAGTGAAAAGAATATACTTCTGAAGCTGTCTGCAAAGCTTGTGTACAGACAGGAGATTAAATCTGAAAGAAGGTATATATAATACATTCTGTAAAACCAAATTAGGTAGAAGAATGACCGAACCAAAATGAGTGACTCTAACTCTACAAGAATTAGGCAGATTGACCATTAAAGGCTTAGGCAAGGTTCTAAAATTTGAAAAGAAACTTTTATTGAAAGTCATATGCTCAGTAGCTCCACTGTCTATTATCCATGACTCATTATCTATATTCATGAAACATGCATAAGAGTTGAAAAATTTAGAGATACCAGCACAATTCACACTGGCAGAAGCATCAGATGTTCCTGCAGATTGCTGATTGAGCTTCACTTGTTGCAGCAACTGAAGCAGCTGTGTCACATTCTCCTGAGTAAGTGCATTGATCTCTGAAACATTTTCAGCTCTTTTGCCACCCTCTTCTCCCATGGTAAAAGCATTGTTTGCCTGTGGAATTCCTTGGTTTTTTTCTCTGTTTAGTAAACTTGAAATCTGTTGGAAAACCATGAATCCTATAGCATTTATCAATTGTATGCCCAGGCTTCTTACAGTAGGAACAAATACTGGTGTTCTTCCTTGCATCAAAACCTGTCTTTTGTGTTTTATAATCATTGATTCTCCTTCCTCTTGTTCCCTGATTAGCAGCAATGAAAGAGGCTGTTTCTCCTGGGTAAGCAGGAGTGGCATGTATTTCCCTCTGTTTTTCATCCTGAATAACTAGGGAATAAGCATGTCCAATAGAGGGTAAGGGAGATGACAACAGGATGTTGCTTCTGACCCCAAAGAAGGTGTCATTTAGTCCCATTAAAAATTGTTATAATCTCTCATCCTGATGAGCCTTCAAACTATTAGCCTTAGCACCACAATCACAGTCACAAATGCAAGCAGAGAAGGTGTTGAGTGCATCTAGTTCACCCCATAGGCTTTTTATCTTAGTGAAATAACTTGATACACTGGAGTTACCTTGAGTTACAGCACTTAATTCCTTTTGCAATTGAAATAGCTTGGCACCATTTGTCTGACCAAATCTGTCTTCTAGGTCACTCCACAGGTCCTTTGCACTTTGGGAATATAGAACACTTTCAGCTATTTCTTTGGAAAGGGAATTGAGCAGCCAAGAGAGCACCATATCATTACATCTAGCCCATGCTCTTTGGAGTCCAGAATCTGCCTCAGGAACAGCCAAAGATCCATCGATGAAGCCCAGCTTGTTTTTTGCTGAGAGAGCAATCACCACTGCCCTTCTCCATCCTCCATAAGCTCTTCCATCAAAGGGTGAGGAAACAAGATTCATCCATGGATAATCAGAAGGATGAAGATAGTAAGGATGTGCTGAATCCACTGTTCCAGCTCCTACAGGTGCTGCAACTGTAGCAGCATTAGAAGTGATAGAAGCTGAGGGAAGGACCTCAGTAGAATCAGCAGGAGTACCCATGGTAGAGAAGAAAATAGAGAAGAAAATCGATTGAATTTGAGCAGATTAAACCTGCTCTGATACCATGTAAAAATAGAGAAGATTTGATAAAATTTTCCGTGTATTGATGATGATCATTGCTGTGTACAGTGCATGTGTTTACATACAAGCTAAATGGAATCTAAGAAAATAACCACCTATACATGTGTCACTATTCTATTTGTATATCTGTAACTAACATATACAAAAATAAAGAATAAAAAATAACAGTTGTACAATATTCTCTTCTAGTAGCTTCAGTCTTTATTGTTGAATAGGCCCAACTCTGTATAAAGATAAGAAGCCCAATTATGTAGATAGGGAGCCCAAATGATAGAGACCCAAAACAAAATGGACCGGGTTCTTTACGATTAAAAGAGTTTGATTCTTCAGACCAAAACTCAGACTTAGGAGACATCGTTAGGGTTTCTCTGTAACCATCTGTAAACATCGACTTACACCATTTTCCAGTCCAACATACAATTAGACACTTCTAAACTCTCCAAAACTACGAATAACCTTGCCATATCAAAAGCAATTAGCACTATTTAATGGAAATATATAAAAGTTAATTCGTGGACGAAATAATATGTGAAAGGGGCTGACAAAACTAATAGTTGTCGGGCTAAACTTTTATTTTATGTAAAGTAGAATTAAATGTAATTAATATTTAGAGCGTTGGATAAAACTTTGAAAAATCAAAATTAAGACATGGATCAAGATTCTTAGAACCTAGCTACCAAATGGGATCTCACTTTGCCCAACACGTAATCTATAGTTGAATTATCAGAAGATTATGATGTCTGTGACTTTGTGTCTATGCATAGGAAAAAATATGCTTGTTTTTGTACGGAATTACACAAGAAATATTAGAAACGTAACAAGTTGTTGTTGTAATAGTTTGATGCGCACATTCATAATATTACACCGCTTTGGTCCAACGAATCTCAAAAAATTTAGTTCTTGAATTCATTTTTGAATCCAAAAGTGCACTATATACATGTTAGTTCCCAGGCTTAACATTTATTAAGCAATTTGATTTTGCTGGCGGTTCTCATCTTATTTGTCCAACAACTGCGCCAAAAGCCTCACCAGGCTATTAAATTAAAATATTCACCGGCATTTTAATTACATGGCCTTTCATTGGCCACTGGGTTTTCTCTGCGGATGTACACAAGAAGGTCAACTACATATATCTTGTCCCGTTTGTTTTAAATTAAAGTCTGTGTCAATTTTCAAGAGCCGAACCCAAAATTCACCTAAACCAAAATTTTGAAATTTTAAAGCCTGCAACTTATTGTAGTAATAATCCAAAAGTTCCATTTTCAGGAAAACTAAAATAGTCTTTCAAACAGGTTAACATACATTTCAAATGAAAGGAAGGGATTCAACTTGGATACAAATATTAAAACCTCTAATGAAAGTAAAGTGATAATTCACATTAACAAAATATAATAATAAAATGTAATATAAAAAAGGAAAATTAGTACCATATATAAACACACGTGCATGAGCTATGCTCCTGCCAAAGAAATTTCAAGTCGTGGATTTTCATCTAACCTCTACCTAATCAATTCTCTAACCATTTATTTAAAAATATTTCCCAAACTTATCCTCTTACCTACATTCACAGCTTAGCCGTGAGAGGAGAGGTCCTACCAATTCATCCATGTCATACTGGTAATTGACATGTACATGTATGATATATCCCAAATGATTTTTGCATTAACAATAGACCTTGTTATTTATACATGTTCATTTATTACTAGCCAAAATTCATCTGGTGCTAATTTTTTGAGAGAATAAAATATTCTTTTTTTTTCAAGTATAAAATGTTACCTCCATGATATCCTTGAAATTTCACTGTTGAATTTTCGAATACTCCCTCCGGTCCATAATAAGTGACTAATTTGCTTTTTTTTTTGGTCCAAAATAAGTGTCCATTTATATAATTAAGAAAGAATTCAATTTATTTTTACAAAATTACCCTTATGTACATATCCCTAAAAAGTTTTCTTACTCCTCACATTAAATATTTAATTAAGGGTAGTTTAGTCATACTAAGTATTTTTGTATAGAATTTAGTTTCTTAATGGGCATGCCAAAAGCAAATTGGTTACTTATTGTGGACCGGAGGGAGTGTTACATAAACTTCCTTTAATTCGTCGAAACGACAAAACCTTTAAATCTATTTAAACATTATTTAGAAACATAAATAATGTATGTTTGAGAAATTGAATCCAAAGTTAGTTCCTTATGAATAAAAATTAACCTCATCTTGTGTCTTTAGTTTTCTTTTCATTTTTGTTATCACATGCCCCCACTTAACCAATATCGATTTAATGAGATAATTTTGGAAATAATGAAAGTAGATTTACATCAATGACCATATCAATTACTCGAACCTGCACTCCATATCAAACAATAGCAAAAAGAAGGCACCATTGTACACAAATCCATAGTTCGATAAGATTATTGGTCTTAGCATCTCAACATACACTATATACTAATGTCCTGTTAGCAATTTAATAATGTGCGGCAATAAATATCTCTTACTATTCAAGTGAATAATGTGCAAAGAACGAATATAATTTTGACCTAGGAAAGAAGTATTATACCTCTGCTCATATCATCTGTTTCTCCAATTATTTTTATTTGTCAATTCAATAAATAAAAATTGGTCCCAAATGTTGTCACTTTAAAAAGAAGAAGAAGAAGAAGAAAGGCATTGATTACTATCTTCTTTCAATTCCACTCTTAAAATTTCAAAAAGGAGTTACGAACAATTTAGTTAAATATCTCTTACTATTCAAGTGAATATTTTGTTTTATGAGTATGTCAAAATCTTAAACGACAAATAGACATGAGGGACTTAAAAGTTTTACACAGTCTTATAAGAAAGACATTTAGGACCCGTTTGACCATAGATTTTGTCTATATATATATATATATATATATATATGTTTACCCTGGAATCCGGATAACAATTGAATTTATATGGGGTTTTAAGGATCCGTGAACTAAAAGATACAAAAGGTTTAGGTTGAGGAAAATAAAAGATAAAGACTCAACAATTGCTGTTAAAATAAATAATCGCAGAATATAATATTGCTTAGAACAATTGTGCTTGATAGCGTACAAGAATTGAGAGAGANTCAATTCTTCTAGCCTCCTAGAACCGCAGAATCAGCATCCGGCCCACCCCGTTCCGGCTGTACTGGGGTCGGATTGATGATTGCAGCTGCACGGGGAGCCTCCTCGGACCTGACAGGCTCCTGGACCCGGCTCTGGAGCTGAGCTATAGCCGATTGCTGGGCTTGCAGCATGTCAAAAATCATTTTAAGGTTGATAGTCTCTTCGCCGACTGCCTGGGCCCTCGAATCGTCCTCTCCCCGGACGCTATGTGATGATCCGGAGGCCTGATCAGTGTTGAGCGCCATCCGGGAACCGGCATCTATCGGGTTTTCGAGCCCGAGCATTCCATTGTTTCCTGTCTGCTGTTCAAGTTCGTTGTTGATTGATTGTGCCATTCTATGAGTTGGTAATTTGAATGTAAGATGGACTCTTTTGCAAAGCACCAGTATATTGTGATGCGTCAAGAAAGAGTATCAAAGAGCTCACTAATATCCTTAGCCCCACGGTGGGCGCCAAACTGTTTACCCTGGAATCCGGATAACAATTGAATTTATATGGGGTTTTAAGGATCCGTGAACTAAAAGATACAAAAGGTTTAGGTTGAGGAAAATAAAAGATAAAGACTCAACAATTGCTGTTAAAATAAATAATCGCAGAATATAATATTGCTTAGAACAATTGTGCTTGATAGCGTACAAGAATTGAGAGAGATGGTACTCTAGTGTAATGGTTTCCGATCCTCTCTTTATGGGGTCTTCTCCCCTTTTATACATTCTGATTAAGGGTAAAAATAAGGTAGGTAAATTAATTACATCGTGGATCCCTGTAATTACGCCTTAATGGCCTGAAGTGGTTGAGAAAATCACGTTTGGGCGAGATATCCGGCGACGCTTGGTTATCCGTTACGAGTCCGGCTTCCGACCTTGTGTGTTTCTCCATCCGGTGGTGACTCATATCGAGCTCTGCAACGGTCTCGAAATGACTCGACCTCGGTTGTAGACGTGGCCGTCGTTCTATCTTGCATCCAGGTCGAGTTCGATGGCCCCGACTTGCCCCGGACAGGACCCAACCCGGTCGGGCTCAAGCAAAAAAGGGTATCACCCAATACAAGCTGATTGCTGATTGTTACTTAATGATGCAATGTCCTGAATGAATAGACTGTAGTCTCTAGCTGTGAATAATAGATGTATCATCAGAACTCCCAAGCCCTCGAATTAGCGATAAAGCATCAGAAGTGTAGTGAAATCCAATGAGAAATATCTTAAGACCTTGAGATAGGAAAACATTTCCCAATGGAACAAGGTGAGATATATGATAGATAACATCTCCTAATAGGCAACTGCGAAGGTATTGATATAACATCATCAATAACATGACATATAACCATGCTTAAAAGCAGGTTATAATTAGGCATTGACATGACCAGCTTAGATTTGTGACGTAGAATAATGAAAACATCACAAATCGCACGCTTCCAGTGGCAAAATCACAAATCACAAATCACAATCACAAGTTCTATTCTTCCAGAGGCAAAATGACTTGCTCCCCGTGAAGGTGCTCAATTTTGCACTGGTTCTACCTTCTTCTATTTGCAGGCGCCTATAAACTGTCAATCCATTTATAGTTGAATTAGTAGCCATTCATTTTTCCCTATTTACACATTTATACACTCACCGACATGCTTTAAAGTAGCAGGTTAATTATAGGATGTAAATCAATTAGCAACCTCTTAAGTTATTTATTCATAAAATATTAATGACAATTTATGGACTAATATACGGGTATAGAGGTGTGGATCAATCTAACAAATGTTTATACTCCACCCAGAATCCACATTTTTCTTTAAA